GGAACAGCACCTGGAACAGAACAAGGGCTCAGGAACTGTGTCGTGTGAATGAATGAATTGTTGAGAGTTCATATTTTATGTGTCCCACCTTCCCAATATTATCATTGCTTTTTTATTTATTCATTTTTGGGATACCGAGGATTAAACTCAGGGGCACTCAACCACTGAGCCCCATCTCCAGCCCTATTTTGTATTTTATTTAGAGCAGGATCTCACTGAGTTGCTTAGTGCCTCACTTTTGCTGAGGCTGGCTTTGAACTCATGGAATCCTCCTGCCTCAGACTCCTGAACTGCTGGGATTACAGGTGTAATCACCACCATGTCCGGCTTATCGTTGCTTTTAAGAATTACAAGTAGTAGGGTTCAATTGTTTTCCATCTGTGAGCCAGTTACATGGGTATATTCAGGGTACGAAACCCAGAAAGCTGGACACTCAGGTCCAAGGGGTTTGTGTGTGTGTGTGTGTGTGTGTGTGTGTGTGTGGTGCTGAGGGTTGAACCCAGGGACTTGTGCATGCAAGGCAAGCACTCTACCAACTGAGCTGTATCCCCAGCCCCTACGTGTTTTACTCTGATCTCATTTATGTTAAAAAAGGATGAGAAGATTGCTTATGTGTACATTTCCACTGTATCAAGATTAGAAAATGCAGATGAAGAAGAACTAAGATAAATACTTCCGTTGTGAATTCAGACAGCCGTTTCCCCCTCTTGATGAACAGAGTACACTATTTCATTTCAATTGCTTCTCACTTTTATTTTTAATTTTTATAATTATAAGAGGAAATATTTTTTCCTTTTTTTTTTTTTTTTGAGATGGGATCTTGCTGTGTTGCCAACACTGGTTCCAAATTCCTGGGGCTCAAGTGATGCTCCTGACTCAAGTAATAATTGGCTAAGGTTCTAATAAATTAATATTTTGTAATTCCAAGATTTTTATTGTGATACAATTCTTCTCCTTCTCCTTCTCCCTCTTCTTCTTCGGTTCCAGGGATTAAACCCAGGGGCCCTCGACCACTGAGCCCCATCCCCATGCCTATTTTGTGTTTATTTAGAGCAGGGTCTCACTGGGTTGCTTAGCGCCTCTGTCTGGCTTTGACTTTATGATCCTCCTGCTTGGCCTCCAGAGGCATCTGTCAATGAAGCCGGCTGTGGTGGCCTGGTTGACAGAGCTCTAGCATGATGTTCTAGGACTCCACCATATGGCGGAGCTCCAGTGCATTCCCATTCTAGAATCCCCATGTTCTAAGCTGTTGGAGTTCTAAAGATGCAGTATCCCAGAACTCCAGGATGCGCACCGCCAGCGTTCTAACGTTTTGGCACTCAGGAGTTCCAGTCTTCTGTACTGGGCACAGTGACAAGTGCCTGTAATCTCTGTGAATCAGGAGGCTGAGGCAGGAGGATAACAAGTTAGAAGCCAGCCTCAGCAACTTGGTGAGACTTTTTTTTTTTTTTTCCAAAATAAAAAATAAAAAGAGCTGGGGATGTAGGTTGGAGGTAGAGTGCCCCTAGGTTCAAGTTTCAGTACCAAAAAAAGAAACAAAGAAAAAAAGGATTGGAATCTTCTGATGGGCTGAATCCCAGGGGTGCAATATTCCAGAATTCCGAGGCCTGAGTTCTAAACCCTGGTTAGAAGCCAGTGATCTAAAGCTCGGGCATGGGGCTCAAGCGGTAGCGCGCTCGCCTGGCATGCGTGCGTCCCGGGTTCGATCCTCAGCACCACATACCAACAAAGATGTTGTGTCTGCCGAGAACTAAAAATAAATATTAAAAAAATTCCCTCTCTCACTCTCTCGTTAAAAAAAATAATAATAATAAAGCACGGGCACGCATGTCTCCAGGATGCTGAGGGAGGAGCTTCTACTACCCTAGCGTTCCCAAGGCCTTGGGAGTTTTCTTCTCTGAAATTTCCCTGGGTGTCTCTCCCGCCCAGGTGTCTGGACCCCAATGGAGAACGATTCGCTCAGCTACCCCTACGAGTACGGGGACTACAGTGACCTCCTGGATGTCCCCGTGGACTGCCGGGGCGGCGCCTGCCTCTCCACCGACGCGGTCCGCGTGGCCCCTCTGCTGCTGTACGCTGCCGTCTTCCTGCTGGGCGTGCCGGGCAACGTCATGGTGGCCTGGGTGGCGGCGAAGGAGGCCAGCCGGAGGGTTGGGGCCACCTGGTTCCTGCACCTGGCCGTGGCCGACCTCCTGTGCTGTTTGTCCCTGCCCATCCTGGCGGTGCCGATCGCCCGGGAAGGCCACTGGCCCTACGGGGCCGCGGGGTGCCGGCTGCTGCCCTCGGCCATCCTGCTGTCCATGTACGCCGGCGTCCTGCTGCTGGCCGCCCTCAGCGCTGACCTCTGCCTGCTGGCCCTTGGGCCCACCTGGTGGGCAGCGGCTCAGCGGACCCGTGCCCTGCGGGTGGCGCAGGGCGCGGCCTGGGCGCTGGCCTTGCTGCTGACCGCGCCCTCGGCGCTGCACCGCCGCCTGCACCAGGAGCACTTCCCGGCCCGGCTCCTGTGCGTGGTGGACTACGGGGGCTCCGCCGCGGCCGAGGGCGCCGTGACCGCCCTGCGCTTCATCTTCGGCTTCCTGGGGCCCCTGGTGTTCGTGGCCGGCTGCCATGGTGCCCTCCTGTGCCGAGTGACCCGACGCCACTGGCCTCTGGGAGTGGCGGTCATGGTGGGGTTTTTCGTCTGCTGGGCCCCCTACCACATCCTGGGGCTGGTCCTCACCGTGGCTGCCCCAAACTCTGCGCTCCTGGCCCGGGCCCTCCGCGCTGAACCCCTGGTCGTGGGCCTGGCCCTGGCTCACAGCTGCCTCAATCCTATGCTCTTCCTATATTTTGGGCGGGCTCAACTGCGACGGTCACTGCCAGCTGCTTGTCACTGGGCCCTGAGGGAGTCTCAGGATGAGGAGGAAAATGTAGTAAGCAAGGTATTCACCAGTCATGACCTGGTGTCAGAGATGGAAGTGTAGGCAAGAGGGACACTGGCTTTTTAATCTCCTATTCCATTTCACAAATAGCTTCAGGCAAAGCTGGATCCAGGAGTTTCATTTTCTCCCTTCATTCAAAGAACATCCATCGGCCCTTGCTGTATGCCAGGCCCTGATATAGGCATCAGGGTACAGTAGTGACCAGGACAGACACAAATTCTGCACTCAGAGAGCTGACGTTGTAAGGGAGGAAGACAGACAATAAGCAAATAAATGAGCATGGAATATGGGAAGGGTGACAAGTCTAAGAAACCTAAAAGAGACAAACGGGACTGGATGGGGGCAGGAGATGTCAGTCAAAAAAGTCTCTGGGGTAAGGTGATATTTGAGCCCAAACCTACACAAGGGGAGCAGGAGTTGTGCTTATAACTGGGAGAAAATTGTTCCAAGTAGAGGAACCAGCAGAATATCATGTGTAAAGGCCCTGGGGTGGCTGGAGGCAGAGCTCATGGCAGAGCACTTGCCTAGTAAGTCCCAGGAAATATTTTGGCCCTACTTATACTAAAAGTTATTTGTTGTTTATCTACAATTCAAACACAGAACACTCAGTATTTTTTTTTCCAAGTTTCCTACTCTGAGTGTCTTGATTGACTTAGATTTTAGTAAAACCCCTCTCTGGTTGCTGGTAGAGATGTCTAGGGAAGGAAGCAGGAAGTAAGGAGCCAAGTGAGGAGGTTACGCAATAGTCCATGCAAGAGGTGGTCAGGGTGGTAGAGCAGAGGTACTGGGAGGCTATTTTGACAAAAGGCCATGTCCAAGCTCCTTGGCTTGGCATTCGAGGCTTCTCTCCACCACTTCCACTCTAGCTTCTCACACTCCATAGGAGGCAGAATAATGGCTGCCAGTGTTGTGCCCATCCTAATTCCCTGGCGCCATGAAACCCTACATTGCAAAAGGGACTTGCAGATGTGATGAAGTTAGGGGTGGGGACATTATTCTGGCCTGTCCAGGTGGGCCCAAAGTCATCACAAGGGTCCTTTAAAGATAAAGTAGGAGATCTGAGTCAGTAGCAGAAGATGTGATAACCAAAGCAGAGCCTCCAGTGACAAGGGGAAGGGGCCACAAGCCAAGGAATACAGGTGGCCTCCAGAAGCTGAAAAAAGTCAGGGTCAGATTCTCTTCCAAACTTCCAGAAGGAAAGCAGACCTGCCAACACCTTGACTTCACACTTTTGACTGCCAACATCTTAAGAGAACAGGTCATATTGTTTTCAGTGGCTACGTTTGTTACAGCGGCCACAGGGAGCTCATACAAACTGTCTGGGCTGTCTTATTTTCGTGCTTCTGGGCCTTTTCTCAAGCTGGCACTGCTGCCTGGAAGGCCTGTCTCATCTATGCTGCCTGATTTGGTGATCACAAGTCACCTATGACTATCCAAAATAAAATTAATTGCAGTTTAAAATTTAGTCCTCAGATTTACTGGCCATGGTTCAAGGGCCCAATAGCCAAATGTGGTTGGTGGCTGTCATATTGGACTGCATAGGTATAGAACATTTCCATCACTGCAGAAAATTCTAGAAGACCAGGCCTCTCTAGAATCTCCTTTAGAATTTCATCAGCATGGGGATTTCTTTTTTCTTTTTTTATTTTCCTGAACTGGGGATTAAACCAGGGGTGCTTTGCCACTGAGCTACATCCCTAGCCCTTTTAAAAAAATTTAAACAGGATCTCACTAAGTTGCTTAGCGTCTCACTACATTGCTGAGGCTGACCACTTGCGATCCTCCTGCCTCACACCCACGTTGCTGGGATCACAGGTGTGTGCTACACACCTTGCCGCTTGGGTCTTTTAAACCCTGCGAGTGGCACTTGTATGTGGGTGGCACTTTGCACGTTTCTCCTTTAGAGTATACGTTAGTCATCTTTTTGTTACTCTCACCACATTCTCGACACAAGCTACTTATGAAAAAGAGAGATTTGTTTGGTTTAGAGTGCAGGAAGCTAAAAGCTCAAGTTGCATAGCTCAGGCTCAGCGAGGCCTCCCTGGTCTGCAGGTAGCAAGGGTGGGAGGGTGAGGAGCAAGCCCACTGCCTTCCAGCCAGGAGCTGAGAGATGGGCGGGTCCAGGCTTGCTCAGCCAGCCAATGAGGGCTCAAGGAACTGCAGAAGCCCTCCCATTGACTTAAGGATCACTAGGCCCCACCTCTTAAAGGCGCCACAGCATCTCAGAATAGCGTCATTCCAAAGACCAGCCTCCAATCATAGGAACCTTAGGGAAGCGGGGACTGAATCCAATCACATCCAGACCACAGCCAGGTAGTTCTCACATTAACCCACAGACAAGGTGAGAGGCTTCATTTTACAAGCTGAGGACCAGGAAGAGGAAGTCATTTGCCCCAAATCACACAGCAAGGACACTGGAGAGCTGGAACTTGACTTCATTTTTACTTGACTCTCATACTCTTCATCACCAAAGTTTTCCTTCAGGGCCTTACTCAAATAACATGTCCTCCAGGGAGCCTTCCCCGATTCATGACCTTCTTAAGCAATGGTGCTTTCGGTACTGTGAGTCTCAGGAGCGCGAGTTCTCAGATGAACCACAAATTCCTCAAGAGTGACAACTGGACCTGTTTCATTGCTGTCTCTCCGCTCCTCTCCCATACCTTAGAAACAGCCAGATTGTCTTATATTTGTCTAGATCCTTCCCCCCCAACTAGACTGTGGGCTCGCTGATGGTGGAGTCCTCCTTCTGGCTATTTCCTTTTACTTCACTGGATATAGGAACAAAATTTAGGTTCTCAACAATTCATGTTTTATTTTCAGTATTTTATTCAGAATTGTTATGCATGAATTATCAAGACAAAGTCTGTTTTGTACAATGAATTGTTTTTTTCCGGGGACAATTTATAGTACTGCTTGAAAGGTTGGGAAAAATCTTTCCATGAACCCGCCAGGGCCAGGTGCCACTTGGGTGTTCGTGGATAACTTTTAAAAACGACCTTAATAGGGCTTAAATTCTTTCATACCTTATTTTATTAGCTTTTTCAAAAAATAATAAGAGTAAATTTCATGGGAGCTTCCAAATGTATTTCTGTGCAATTTTACATAAAATTTTCTTGATCATTAAAAATAACCAGTTTTTTTATTTACTATAAATTTTCCTTGTTTTTGTTCTTGTTGATATTTGTTTATTTTTGATAATAAAATAGTGATTTTCTTAAATTTTCAAAGAACCATGTCTTGATGATTTTTCCAATAATTAGTCTCAAGTGTGCTACTCAATCCTACTGTTGGTAGGTTGTGACTTTTTTTGTTTTGGTCCTGGGGATTGAACCCAGGGGCACTTAACCACTAAGCCACATCCCAACTCTTTTTATGTTTTGTTTAGAAACAGGGCCTCATTAAGTTGCTGAGGCTGGCCTTGAACTTGCGATCCTCCTGCCTCAGCCTCCCAAGCTGCTGGGATTACAGGCATGCACCACCAAGCTTGGCAGATTGTGACCTTATTCTGATCTTTCTTTTTTTTTTTCCTTAACAATTGTAAGTCTTGTTTGGAAATTTTAAGTAAAATTCTTAATTTGTTTCTGCTGCTTCTTCTTTTGATAATAATATATGGATTGCCTTCTCTCTATATGAGGTATTTCCCAGATGTTTGATGATTATATCCAACAGCCCATCTGACATCCACACCTGATGGTCAATGACTAACCCAAACTTCACACGGATTGAGCATCTCTGATGTGAAAATCTGGAATCCAAAATGCTCCAAAATCCCAAATTTTTGAGTGCTGAAGTGATGGCATGAGTGGAAAATTCCACGGCTCACCTCATGTGATGCGTTGCAGTTAAAACGTTAGACATTTGGGCTGGGGTCGTGGCTCAGTGGCAGAGAGCTTTCCTAGCACATATCAATCCTCAGCACCACATAAAAATACATAAATAAAAATAAAGATATTGTGTCCATCTACAACTAAAAAACATTTTAAGAAATGTTAGACATGCTAAGAGATCATGTAAAACTAACTATGTGTATAAGGCTATGTGTATAAGTCTATATAAATCATAAATGAATTTTGTGTTTAGACTTGGGTTCTATGCCCAAGATAGCTCATTATTTATATATGTATGCAAATATTCTTAAATCTGAAAAAAAAATATGAATCCCAAAACACTTCTGGTCCTAAATACTTTGGATAAGGGACACTCAACCCGTGTGCTCAAGACTGACCACTGATTTTCTTTCTTGGCCCTCCTCACACTCTTCTTGATCTTAGTGGACAGTAGCTCCATACTTCCAGGTGCTTAGGATGGAAAAAAAATAGGCTCATTCCCGTCGTCTCTGTTTGCATCAGATGCTATAGCCAAGGCACCAGCCAGCCTCTCTGGGTCTTTCTCCAAAATATCTCCAGAATCCAACCACCACGTGCAAAAGTTAGGATCATTCCCTCTGCCATGACCTTGGCCCAGCTGCTGCCATTTCTCACATTCTTAGCAACCACCTTCCTCGTTACCCTTTGCTCATCTTGGTTCCCGACTCTATGTTCTCCACACAGGAGCCATAGTGTCCCATTAAAGCTAAGGGCAGATCCTGTGTTCCTCCCGTGGCTCCTGCCTCACTCAGAGGACAAGCCAAAGTCTTTGCCATGGCGTCTACTTTCTGTCCCCTTCCTCCCCCACCTCACTCCCACTCTTCCTCCCTCCTCCCCCTCCAGCCACACAAGCCTCCCTGAAGCTTCTGGAACTCATCACGTTTGTTCCCATCTCCACTTTGCGTTTTCGGTTGCCTCTTCCTGGGATGCTCCCCCCACCCTCCAGGTGTCTGCCTGCGTCTCAACTTTTTGCAGCCTTCTGTTCAAATGCTATTTTATGGAAGGTGTCTTCTGACCATGCTACTAAAAACAGCTTCACGCCATATGCTCCCTCTGCTTTGTATTTTTCCTTAGAGAAGGCAATTGCTTAACATCCTGTTGACTTTTATTTTTGCGTCTGCCTCTGTATCTCCCACTAACATGATCTCCCTGGGAACGGGGACTTTTGTCTTTTTCGTTCATGGCTGTCCTCTCAGTTCTTAGAACTTACTCCTGATCTGAAGCTTGTACCCTCTTAAGGGTAATGCTTTCTTTCTTTTCTTTTTTCTTTTTTTTGTACCAGGGATTGAACCCAAGGGTGCTCAACCACTGAGCCACATCCCCAGCCCTTTCTTCTGTTTTATTTAGAAACAGAGACTCTACCAAGTTGCTTAGGGCCTTGTTAAATTGCTGTGGCTGGCTTTGAACTTGCCATCCTCCTGCCTCAGCCTTCCATGCTGCTGGGATTAGAGGTGTGAACCACTGTGACTGGCTGGGTAATGTTATCTTAGGGAAAAGGGAATGATGGGAAGGATATACTAATAAAAACATTTTACATTTATTGAGGTCCTGTATATAATGTTGTGGGAAACGGTTGATGTACACTTTTCCACTTGAACAATCTTGAACTGTTCAAGGTACTAGGTATTAGGTCTGGGGAATGTAGGTAAGTGATAGAGTGCTTGCCTAGCGTAAGTGAGGCCCTGGGTTCCACCCCCAGCACCACTACTAAAAACAAAACAAAAAACCCCAACACTGGGAAAAGTAAGTTGGTAGGATGGTCTTAGGCCTGAGCCTAAGCAACTCCAGTTTAAAAACTCCAGTTTACCTTGCAATCTCACCAGGCACACCCACAGATCCCTCCAGTATGACCTCAAACAAGTCACTTCCCCTCACCCTGATAAATAGAGTGAAGCCCCCGACAGGCTGTCCTCGCCTGATAAGAGGGAAAGGCCAGAAGATCAGGGTGGAGACCACCAGATCAGATGTCTCTGACCCCAAGGTAAGTGATGTCACTGTAGCTGATAAGGATTGAAAGGGGGGGTCAAAAGCCCCAAAATTTAGTATAAATGATAGAGCAAAAGAACAGGGATTTAGCCAGGAGAAACAAGGATGCACTCGAGCTGGAGAGCCTGATGAGGACCTGACATCCCATCACTTGTCATCATTCCTGAGCCTCTGCGTGATCCTCACGGCTCTCAAACTCTACTGCCTGGTCTGGACCTTAGTGAGAGCCACAACTCCTCCCTACAACCCCTTCCTCAACCCGTGGTCCACTCCTTGCCAGGAAAACCAGCCTTGGTTCCAGGCCTGATCACTGAGGTCTGAGTGAGTGTGCATCTTCTGGACTTAAAGCCTAAGGCTTAAGACTTTAGAACTTAGCACGCAGAGGGAATGTCTGTCATTAGCCTGTCATGATTAAGTGTGTTTGCAGTGATTAGAATTAATCTAGAATTGTTTGCTGTGAATTGATTATGTCTATTGCAGTGCCTAGCATTAAGGATTGTCTTTTTATTGATTAAGAACCTGTAGAGTGAAACTGTATTAAGTAATTTGAGTGAATAAAGCATTGAAAGGGGCAGAAGCGCGTGGACATTCTTTATTTCTCCCTCGACTGCATACTTTGCAATTTTGCCTCCTCGGGACATAGGTGTTAGCCCCTGTTTATGAATGAGGAACCTGGAGGTCAGTCCCCCAATGACTGGCACATCTACGACTATACAGGGCTCACTCTTCTCATCTAGTCAGTCACTCATTCAACACACACTGGCTGATCGTCTACTCCGCTTCAGGCACTGTGTGCGCTCAGGACATTGGAGACACAAATGGCCCCTGCCTTCAGGGAGCTGTGGTTTGCGTTTGATTATTTATTAGTGAACGATACATTCATAGCGTGATCACAGGACTGCTTTAATAGTTCCTGGGCCCAGCCTAGCTCCCTAACTAGATTAAAAACCCTGCATCTCGGGCTCCTGTGGTGCAGGTGTAGTCCTCCGCGGGGTACAGGACGGCCTCACTGGTCCCTAGAGGGCGCACAGTCACCCGAGGCTCCGCCTCAAGCTAGGCGGTGCTGTGCGCAGGCGCAGGATGAGCTTGGTCCTCCCGCCGCTCTCCACTGGTTCCTGTATCAACGGAGGGGCGGGGCAGGGCCGTGAGGGCGGGCTGCGCAGGCGCAGACCTGGCTTCATGCGCGTGAGGGGGCTTCGGACCGGAAGTAGTGGTGTCCGCGGCTGTCGGTGAGGTGAGGGCGGGGCGCGCGCGGGGAGACGATGGCGGCGTGCGGAGTCGGGCTGCGTCTCTGTAGCTTAGGGGCGAGCCGCGGAGTGAGGGACATTTTCAGTGAGAAGTGTGGGGGCACCGGCAGAAACAGACGCGGAAGGAGCCTGAGTGACCCGCGACAACGAGGGGGAGAGGGAGGCACGAAAAGAAGCTTCGGGAACGGAGGCTCCGAGAGGGGCTCGGGGAGAGGGGGCGTCGCCCCGTAAAGTGGAGGTGGCGGGAGAAGGTCGTGGACGCAGGGAACCAGGCAGACCCGAGCACAGCGATCTGGAGAGGAATGAGGGACTGGGTCGTGGGTCCGACAGATAGGAAGGGGGACGACAGTGAAGGGCAGAGAGAAAAACTGGAGACGAGGGAGCATCTGCTGAAAAACGGAGAGAGGAGGTGCAGCCAGAAGCCCTGGACTGGAATTCCTCCTAGTCCCGTCTGCTCGCCCTGCCTCTGGCTCAGTAAAATAGGACTTTCCCGGGTTGTGGGCAGTGTGTGTCCCTGGCACCCCGAAAACACAAGGGCGATCCTGAGGAAGAGGGCTGGTTATGAAGGATTCACACCCCTGGGGACGAAATGGCAGATGGAGAAATGGAGAGGGGGTTACAGAGAGCTGGGAGAGAAAAATAGAGGAACAGGAAAGAAGGTTCAAAGAGAAAACAGCTGGAGAAACTCCAATAGAGATCTGAAGCAGGGAGGAGAGAGGTAGTTGATTGTGATCACAAGCCACCTAGTGATGAAAATCAAACCCAGACCTGCCTGTCCCCAATCCCTATATTTAAGAAGGCCCTGAATCCTTTTAAGGTCATAAACCCCATCTGAGTGATGAACTGAAAATTGCAAGCCAGACATAATCAGATAATCAGACTGAAAAACAGACTCAGAAGTGAATAGGGTTTGTTCCAGATTAGGAAAGGGAAGAGAGGCAGTATGATGAGTAAGATGGTCTGTAAAAGAGACCGAGGCCTCAAGATGGAGAAAGGGACACAGACCCAGTGAGGGATGTTAGCCTGGGAGGAGTAATGCCAAGAGATGGTCGGAGATGTAGTTGTAGAGAACCTGGAAGATCTAAGTGGCCTAAAAACCTAGGAGAATAGACTCCTTGAGAGATGTGGATGCTCTCTTTGGGCCCAGTGTGTTTAGGTGGTTTGTTGCCTAAGAGAACCCGCTCTTTTTCGTTGTCCCTGTTCTCAGGGAATCTCTACTTCTGTATCACAGTGTTCTCCAGGCCTCATCCTCTTTTCCTAGAATAGGAATTCCTCCTGAAGCATCCCTGGTGTCCCCCAAGCTCCCATGTTTACCAAGAAGTGAAGCACATTGCACATTGATTGCTGTCTCTGGGAAACACCTTTCATGAGGTCTTGCTCATTCGAAACTCATTTCCAGCTCTAGTAATTCCCAAAATTGGCCAGAGTTTTTACCTCTGGGATGCCAAGACAATCTCTGAACTCTGTTCCACGATGGCCCTTGAGAGATTAAAGGCAAAGTAGACAAAAAGCATTGCTAATACCACTATCAAGGTGATTTGTGGCCTTTTGTGTCAATTTTTTTCCAGGCTGTGTGCCTTTTGTTCCTTCTGCTCTTTTCCCATGTTGATGTCTTCCTGTGGGGAAAAGCACTGGACTTAAATACTAGTTACTATTTGGCTTCTTTGTGCCTGGCTAGGTGATGAGCATTTCAGTGTTTTCAGATGGATATTGCCTTCATTTTATACATGAAGAAAACCCAAGAAGTCAATTTGCTGATGATCACAATCCACCTAGTGATGAGAATCAAACCCAGATCTGCCTGTCTACAAATCATATTAAAGAAGGCCCTGAATCCTTTTAAGGTCATAAGCCCCATCTGAGTGATTAACTTCTCACCAGAAAATAGCACATATGGGCCTGTACTCTATTAGGACATTTTCAACTGACTTCAGAACAAAAAAGTACAGGACCTTTTTTTTTTTTTTTTTTTAAAGGGAGAATTTTTAATGTTTTATTGTTTAGTTCTCGGCGGACACAACATCTTTGTTGGTATGTGGTGCTGAGGATCGAACCTGGGCCACACGCATGCCAGGCGAGCGTGCTACCGCTTGAGCCACATCCCCAGCCCAAGTACAGAACCTTAAAAAAAAATTTTTTTTTAAATATATAGATAGATACAGTACCTTTTTTTTTTTTTTTTAATATTTTTTAGTTTTCAGCGGACACAACATCTTTGTTTGTATGTGGTGCTGAGGATTGAACCTGGGCCGTAAGCATGCCAGGTGAGCGCGCTACCGCTTGAGCCACATCCCCAGCCCAGGTGCAGTACCTTTATTTTGTTTATTTATGTGGTGCTAAGCACTGAACCCAGTGCTTCCCATGTGCGTGGCAGGCACTCTACCAGTGAGCTATGGCCCCAGCCTGGGCCTTTTCTTAAGTAGCCAAGAATTGGAGAGTCGAGCACAACAAAGCCTATAGCACTATAGCACTACATGGTGCTGCCAAGCTTCTTCCCCCTTTCCCTCTCCCTGTAACTGCACAGTGACCATTCTGTGTGTGCGCCTCATTGTGCTGATGCAAATATTTCTCTGGCATAGATTTCCAGACTCTTTTGCTCCAGAGCTCCAACCAGCTCTGGGTTTTTAATCAAACTTGTCTAGTCCCAACAGATGAAAAGAGAGCTTTTCTTTCCTAGTAACTAAGGGTGAATTGCAGAGAAGGGCCCTATTGAGTTATGTGTCCACTCCTCAGACAGTCACTGATTAAAGGGGGAATAGAGTTCCTGGGATAGCCAGGCCTTGTTTTCACTTGTCCAGCTAATATGGGTTTCTAGACTTAAAGGCCAACAGAATCTTGTGGAATTAAAGGGTTGTTCTCCAAAGGAAGGCACATAATTTTATCAGAAAAAGAAGAAAGGAATGTGCCAGGCAGGCCAAAACAATACACACACAACACTTGGAAACCTTGCCATAGAATTTTAAGGGGCTTCCAATGTCTTCAGGACCTCAGATGAAGAGCCCTTGCCTTAGTCTTTCATTAGATTACCCCTGTGTTTTACCTCTTGTGGTGAGATTTTGCTTTTGATTGGCCACTGACCTTTAGGCCAGTTCTCCTTTAGGTCTCAGTTCAAATATTCCCTCCTCTGGAGTTCATTCCATTTCTCCCAAGTATTGACAGATACCTCTGGGCTCCTGCAGGTTCCTGGGCTTCCTTATCACAGTCCCAATCATTGTATTGTCACAGTCTGGTGAAGTGTCTCTCTCTTGTGTGACTACTGCAATCTGTGAGGATTCAGGTGGTCTTATTTATTACTTCCTTTTTTTCAGCCTAGTGCTTGAGAAATAGCAGGCTTTTGGTAATTATTTCTAGAAATGAACAAATGGCTTTTATTCTCTCTCCCAAGCATCCAGGGCCTGAAAACCTGGAAAGAACTTGTGTTTCTCCTAGAGATCTCTGCAGGAGTCATGAAGTGGTGGGTGTGACACTAGCTCAGCCTGGCCGCTGGCTACTGCCTCCGTTTTATGTGGTGATCCTGAAGGAAAATTAGCTCTTTGAAGAGAAAGTGGTTCCTTATTGCAGACACTGGCCTCTTTTGGAGGCAAGAAATGAATGAGAATATATGGTCCACATGATCAGAACTGAGGTCAATTTTGGGACTGCTTTGTGATTAGCAGTATGCCTCCTCCCAGGGGAAGGGAGGGGAGGGATCACCGAGACCACCACTGGACTCCTAGTGAGGAAGAGGCCCCAGAAAAATGGGACTGGAATTGTCCAGAGACTCGTCGCCTCTTGGAGGATGCCTTCTTCCGGGATGAGAATTATATCCGTCAGGGTTCTGAGGAATGCCAGAAGTTCTGGACCTTCTTTGAACGCCTGCAGAGATTCCAGACTCTCAAGACCTCCAAGAAGGAGGAGAAAGACCCTGGGTCTCCCAAACACCACATCCCAGCTCTGGCTGACCTACCTCGCACTTATGACCCACGCTACCGCATCAACTTGTCCATCCTTGGCCCTGACACTCGGGGCTCTCGGGGACCAAGCAGTCGCCTGCCCCCAGAGAGAATATCTGAGTTCCGCCGAGCCTTGTTACACTACCTGGACTTTGGCCAGAAGCAGGCCTTTGGGCGACTGGCCAAACTGCAGCGTGAGCGGGCAGCTCTTCCCATTGCCCAGTATGGGAACCGCATCCTGCAGACATTGAAGGAGCACCAGGTGGTGGTGGTGGTGGCTGGAGACACAGGCTGTGGCAAATCTACTCAGGTGCCCCAGTACTTGCTGGCTGCTGGCTTCAGTCATGTGGCGTGTACCCAGCCACGGCGAATTGCCTGCATCTCACTGGCCAAGCGTGTTGGCTTTGAGAGCCTCAGTCAGTATGGCTCACAGGTGAGTGGGATATCAGGTTCCCAGTTTTTCCGGTGTGACATTGGGGAATAAGTTGATTGTCCACAAGGCAATATCAAGAAAAATTAAGCACTTAACCATTTACCCAGATGTGATTCTTTTAGCATTTTATCTATAGATCAGTTTGTATGTGGTCTACATGACAAAGGTGCTAGTTAGTAGCATTTTATCAACAACAACAACAAAAGCAGGAATTGTCCAAAATGCACATCAATCTTTTTTTTCCAAACAAGCCATAAAAGAGTAATAAGTTACTAAGGACACTTTTCTTTTTTTTGGTCCTGCTGGGGTTTGAACCCAAGGGCTTTACACATCAAGCAAGTGCTCCACCCCTTACTGATGTCTCCAGCTTGATTCATTCTTTCTTTTTTTTTTTTTTTTTTTAAATATTTCCTTAGTCATAGATGGACACAATACCTTTATTTTATTTTTTATGTGGTGCTGAGGATCGAACCCTGTGCCTTCCACATGTGAGGCGAGCACTCTACCACTAATCTACAACCCCAGCCCCTGTTCTTTCTTTATAATGATCTCTAGGGTTCTAATCCCATCTCTACCACTTAAAAATTTTTGTTGTTAAAATTACAGCACTTGTGGGCCTACCTGGCACATGTGGGGCCCTGGGTTCAATCTTCAGCACCACATAAAGATAACTAAATAAAATAAAGGTATTATGTCCATCTACAACTACACAGAAAGAAAGTTAACAGTACTCTAAGGGCTGGGTTGTGGCTCAGTGATAGAGCACTTGCCTAGCATGTGTGAGGTACTGAGTTCAATTCTCAGCACCGCATATAAATAAATAAAATAAAGGTCCGTTGACAATGAAAAAAAAATTTTTAAAGATCCCAGAAGAATGCCTTTAAAAAAAAAATTATAGTACTCTAGGGCTGGGGATATAGCTCTGTTGGTAGAGTGCTTGCCTTGCGTGCACAAGGTGCTGGGTTCAAACCCCAGCACCACAAAAAAAAAAAAAAAAAAAAAAAAATTACAGTACTCTAACCACAAAAGAGTGCTCATATCATAAGTATATAAGTCAGTTAATTTTTACAAATTGAATATCTTTGTAACTGTTGCCCACATTAAGAAAACCAAAACTACTACACCATAAACTTCTTGCTTCTATCTTGAGAAAAGGATTATAACCATTCTTTTTTTTTTTTTAGTTGTAGTTGGACACAATACCTTTATTTTACTTATTTATTTTTATATGGTGCTGAGGATCCAACCAAGGGCCTCGAATGTGCTAGGTGAGTGCTCTACCGCTGAACCACAATCCCAGCCCGCCATTCTTAGTGATAGATCTTAATTTTGTTGATCACACCTTAGCGATAGAATGTTCACATACTTATTTTGCCTTTCTTCTTCTTTTTATAAATGCAGTCAGACATTCTTTTTTGTGTCTTGACTCCGTCACCATTAGGTCTGTGAGAGTCTTGTAGAGTAGGCTGTGGGGGTGCCCATTGTTTATTCTCACTGTTGTACAATATGCCATTATGAAGTTACTGTCTAGGTAGCCTTTCTGTTGATAGAGATTTGAGGAATTTCTACTTTTAGGTCTTGGGAGTAGTGCTAAGAACATTCTAGAACATGCCTGTTGGGTAGATGTTAGGAATGGAATTGCTGGGGCATCACATCTGCCTGTGTGTTGATCTTCAGCAGATCCTGCCAAGCCATTGTGCAGAGTGGACATGTTGACTTCCACTCCTACCAGCATGATGTCCACATTGTCACCAGCACTTGGTGGTGCTGCTTTTTTTCATTCCAGCTTTTCTGGTGGATGTGTAGTGATATCACATATTTGCATTTTGGGTTTTCATCTGTAGTTCCTGATAACTAAAGACTTTTTAAAAAATATATTTTATATCTATTGGAGATCCTTTTTGTGAAATGTCTGTCTGTTAAGTCTTTTTCACATTTGTCTTTTGCATGTTTTTGATTTGTAGGTCTTTCTAGATTCTGGATTAAGTCCTTTGTAGAATTTATATATTGTAACTCTTGTCTCGTCCTCTGTGAGTTGCCTTTAATTTTCTTAGATTACTCCAACTCGTCATTTTCTTTTTATAGTTAGTGCTCTTTGGGTCCTGTTTTAGAAATTTTGCCTATACTTAACTGTCACGAAGAAGTTCTCCTATTTTTTTTCTAAGAGTTTTTACAATCATAATTACAGTTCATCTTCATCTGGAATTGATTTGAGCAGTGTATGATGTAAGGTAGGGGTTAAGGTACGTTTCCTCTCATAGCCTCTTTTTAGTTGTTACTTGATGAGTGAACTCAATTTCCTCATTCATGAAATCAGGATAATAGTTATCAAATAAATGGTGGTTTGAGGATGAAATGAACTATACCTACAAAGCACTTAGTGTAGTTTCTGGCAGGTAGTAGAGACTCAGTGATTACTACTGTTATAATAATGAATGTCATACACCAGGCAGTATGCCAGATACTACTGTGCTTTATCTCATGTAATTCCTACAGCATGTAGTAGGAAAAAACACGTCTCTAAGGATGGCACTGGTAGCCCAAGGACGGTGGCACCAAGTGGTGGGGATGAGATCTAGACCCAAGCCCACTGGGTTCCAGGGTCTGATGTATAGGCAATGCACTGGCTCAGACTTTTAATTCAGGCAGGGTAGGGGTCTGATGGCCAGGCCCAGGGTCCTTTCCTGACTCTGATACCTCCCTCCCTCTCACCTTAGGTTGGCTACCAGATCCGCTTTGAAAGCACACGTTCAGCGGCCACCAAAATCGTGTTCCTGACAGTGGGGCTACTTCTGAGGCAAATCCAGCGGGAGCCCAGCCTGCCCCAGTATGAGGTCCTGATCGTGGACGAGGTCCATGAGCGGCATCTTCACAATGACTTCCTCCTGGGTGTCCTGAGGCGCCTGCTGCCCAAGCGGCCTGACCTCAAGGTCATCCTCATGTCGGCCACCATCAACATCTCTCTCTTCTCCAGCTACTTTGGCAATGCCCCTGTGGTGCAGGTGCCTGGGAGGCTGTTCCCCATCACGGTTAGTGCTCCCTCCAGACCTCCCACCTGGTCTCTGGGCACCTGGGAAAGCCTCTTCTCTCTGCTGCTCTGTTTCCCATTTCTTCCATTAAGGACTCTCATTTTTGGACATTTACAGTGTGCCAGGTATAATGCTAAGTGCTTGTTAGAATGAAAACTAAACTTCTATAACAAAGAGACCCCAAAATGCAAAGGCTAAGATAAGATAAAAGTCTATATTTCTTTGATGAAAGTCTGCCATTCTTGGCTTCTCTGTTCTATTGGTTGTTTAGTGACTCGGGCTCCTCCCTTCTTACTGCTCTTCCATCTCATGGGGCAGGGTTTCTCAGAGTCAGCAGACTCAAAAGTTTTGGGCTGGATACTTTGTGGTGGTGGGGGCTGTTGTTATAGGATATTTAGTGGCATCCCTGGCCCCTACCAACTAGATGCCAGTAACATTCTCTTCCCTGAGTTGTGATTACCCAAGATGTCTGCAGAAACTGATGCACGTCCCTTGGGGAGTGACCCTCCCCGCCACAGCACCTATCCTAGGAGGTTGTTTTGTCTCTATAGTTGAAGCTTGTTGTAAGGGCTTCTTTGTCACTTGTGAATCTGCATTATAAGTAGCCATCACAAAAGAGAGGTAGCTAAACTAGAGAACTGCAGTTCAAAGCCAGCCTCAGCAACTTAGTGAGACCCTTGTTTCAAAATAGGAAGTAAAATAAAAGGGCAGAGGATATAACTCAATGGTAGAGTGTGCTGGGTTCAATCCCTGGTACCAAAAAGAAAAAAGAAAGAAAGAAATTACTTACAGAGAAATAGTTTTCTAGCACTTTAGTCCTGATTCCACCATTTAGATTGTTTTTTCTTGTTGAAACTATCATATATTAAACACAGAAGAATGCGCATAGAGCTGGGTGTGTGGTACAGGCTTATGATCCCAAGTACTTCGACTCTGAAGCAGAAGGATCACAAGTTTGAGGCCAGCCTGGGCCACTTAGCAAGACCCTGTCTCAAAAAATAAAAGGGACTGCGGTTTAGCTTAGTGGTAGAGCATTCCTGGTTTAATCCCCACCCTGCAAAAAAGGAAAAAAATGCACAGATAAGAAGTCTGTAGTTCAATTGCTTTTCATCCATTAAATACATGTTTGTAGCTGATATTCAGATTTTTGAAAAATCAAACATTATCAGCATGTGAGAGGCCTTCCAGTTCCTCTTCTACTTTGCTTCTTTGTCACACCCTTGAAAGTTACCCTCTGAGTGTGCCGTCTTACCTGGCTGCTCGTGCTCCCTACAGCCTGCATGCCTCACCCTGGTGCTCTGCCCTGGAGTGGTGGGGTGTGCTCCAGCCGGGGACTCTCTTTGTCACAGGTTGTATACCAGCCACAGGAGGCAGAGCCAACGACATCCAAGTCAGAGAAACTGGACCCACGGCCTTTCCTGAGGGTGCTGGAGGCCATTGATAATAAGTACCCACCTGAGGAGCGAGGGGACCTCTTGGTCTTCCTCAGCGGCATGGCGGAGATCAGTATTGTGCTGGAGGCTGCCCAGACCTATGCCAACCACACCCAGCGCTGGGTGGTACTGCCGCTTCACAGTGCCCTCTCTGTGGCCGACCAGGACAAGGTATTACATGAAGCCAGGCAGGGAGGGGCAGATGGGTGTCTCTGTAGGCCAGGGAAGGAGGATGAATCAAGGGCAGCTACATGCAGCACTGAGAGGATTTCACAAATCCAGGTCTGTGGGCTGCACTTGTGGAGTTGCATGGGCACCAACTCAGAGAAGCTGCGACCCAGGGAATATGGCCCTCGAGCTCATAACCAGAGGATGGCAAGCGTTCTGTAAAGAACCAGAGAGGAAATATTTTGATCTGTGCAGGCCAAAGGCTCTTTGTCACACTCAGCTCTGCCATCACAGCATAAAAGCAGCCATATACTGAATGAGTGAGGCTGTATTTTAATAAAGCTTTATTTAAAATTTATGGAGACAAGTGATTTGGCCTGCAAGCCATAGTTGGTTACCCTGTTCTTAACCACTGTGCTAAACTGCTTCTTAGAGCCAAGAGAAGGGTTGTGCAAAGGGCCTGTGGTGAGAGAAGGGGACAAAGGGAAAGAACATGCAGTGTGGCTGGGGTCCAGATTATGAAAAGGAAGTCAGGAGAGGTAGGATTGGAGAGATGGGAGAAGGTCACAGGGGCCTGAATACCCATTGTGGTGCCTGGACTTTGTCCTGAGGGCACTGGGGAGCTCCAGGAGGGTTCTGAGCATGGTGCAGGGCAGTGCCTGTTGGTACTTTAGCAGATCCTTCTGGCTGAAGTCTGAGGAATGGATTGGAGGGTGTGTCTAGAGGCCAGGAACCAGAGGCAGGCTGGCACAGGGCTGGAGTGGGAAAGATGAGCCTAGACCAGAGAAGGGGTTGGGGTTTGGGGAAAAGGGAGGGAATTCAAGAAATGTTTAAGATGTTCAGGTGGAGCTGAGGGAGAGGGAGGGACCAGGACAGCCCAGGCAATGGGCCAATGTGAACCACCTTTGAGGTCAGGGCTTCTCAAGAGAAAGTCCAGTGGAGGATGCCAAGGCCATTGGACCACGGGTATGAGGTGCCCATGGGACATCCAGAAGGCCATGGGATGATGCCTTCTTTCTTTCCCCCAGGTATTTGATGTGGCACCGTCTGGAGTCCGGAAATGTATCCTCTCCACCAACATTGCTGAGACCTCGGTCACCATCGATGGGATCCGCTTTGTAGTAGATTCTGGTAAGAGCTGCCTCCAGTTCCCACCACCACCCCAGGGACCTCATAACAAATATGGGCCCAAGCCAGGTGTGTACATGCCTGTAATCCCCGTGGCTTAGGAGCTGAGGCAGGAGGATTTGAGTTCAGAGCCAGCCTCAGCTGCTTAGCAAGGCCCTAAGCAACTTAGATACTGTCCTCTCCAAATATAATAATAAAAGGCTCAGTGGTTAAGTGCCCCTGGGTTCAATCCCTGGTACCCCCACAAAAAAAGGGGGATGGGGACAGAGGTATGCAGATGTAGCCAGGGGGCTCTGGACCAAAGCAGAAAGTAGGTGGCAATTGGTTCTGTAGAGCAGAGGGGCAGCATCTTAATTTTAATGACCTTCCAAGCTTACCTCTGCCCCAGGACCCAACTGTTCTCTCTGCTGAGAGTTGTCTTGCTTGAATATCCACGTGGCCCACTCCCTCTCATTTCAGGGCTTGTACGAGGACCTCCCCTTCAGAGAAGCTCACCCTGTCCCCTCTAAATGACCTTCCCCTGCTTCCATTTCTGTTTCCCATGTTGCTCTGTTTGATTTTCTGTCTTCACAAAGAGAACGTTCCCTGGGAAGTCAGCCTCATTGTTAGGAGACACTGGGGCCAGACTGTCGGGGTTCCTTGCTGGCTGTGTGTGCAGGGTCATGTCCCTGTGCTCCATGCCCGTGCCTCAGCTGGCTCATTTGTAAGGTGGCAGTAATATTACAGCACCTCCTTCAGGTTATAAGGGTTAAATGAGTGAATGCGCTTGGGTGCCTGTGACAGTTTCTGACCCAGAATTAAGGCTCAGAAATGTCAGCAGTCACGTTATTGTATTGGCACTGGGATGGCCTTGGTAGAAAAGCATTCCAGCGTCTCATCCCATTAAAACATTTTTAAAATGCTGTCAATTAAACATGACATGCTGTTGATTTTAAGGCATGTCCATTTTCAGATACAATAAAATGTGAAAAAGACTGGTCTTTAAAACAAATTTTTTTTTAGATTACATGATTATCAACTTTATTGCTCCCCAAAAGCTTGGTCTTCAAATGGATGAGATCTGGCCTTCCCTTCAGTCCTGGAGGCCAGGGCCTTTGCTTTGTCCGTGGCTTTGTCCCTAATGCCTCTTATAATGCCTTGCATTAATCCTTAATCAAGATGTGTCAGATGGCAGCCTCTGAAAGAGCAAAGACTTGAGAAATAAAAGACATCTGTGCCAGCTTTCTATCACTATAACAAATACCCAAGACAATCAGCTTCTAAAGATAAAAGGTTCACGTTGACTCACAATTTTTGCAGTTTCAGAGCATGGTTGGCCGGCCTCGTTGACTTGGGCCTGTGCCGTGCACGTCATGGTGGGAGCCTGTGTCAGAGCACAGCTGATTGCCTTGTGGCTGGGAAGTAAAAGGAGAGTAGGTGAGGGCCACTGTCTCCCTCCAGAGTACACACCCAGGGCTACAGACTCCTTAGAGTCTCCGCCTTCTCAGGAGCTCCAAGATAGGAGCAAGCCTGTAACATGCAGGCCTTGGGGGGCCACTCCACGTCCAGGCTCTAGCAATGTGTGAACAAGGAAATGAAAAAAAAAATGAACTGAATGTCAGGGTTGGGCCCAGAATAAATTCCTGGTTAGTGTTAGTGCTGTGAAGGAGTGGATGAGGGTGTCAGTGGGCGACGGAACAGGTAGAGTGCCGGGTGTGAGGAGGCCATGCCAGGGCCAGCTGCTCTCCACAGACTCCCTGTGCACCCTCCCCTCCCCATGCAGGGAAGGTGAAGGAGATGAGCTATGACCCGCAGGCCAAATTGCAGCGGCTGCAGGAATTCTGGATCAGCCAGGCCAGCGCAGAGCAACGGAAAGGCCGGGCTGGCCGCACAGGCCCTGGAGTCTGCTTCCGCCTTTATGCCGAGTCCGACTACGATTCCTTTGCCCCCTACCCTGTTCCGGAAATCCGGAGAGTGGCTCTGGATGCCCTGGTGCTACAGGTGAGGCATGGCTGGGAGGGGACTGTATCCTGACCACTGGTGCCAAGGAAGAACCCAGGAGGGGTTGAGATGGGACCAGTCCCAGGATTTCAGTGCCAGGAGCTGGCTAAGCCATCAAGGGCAATGTATCCTTCCGTGGGTTAAACCTTTGACACAGTCAGAATGCTTTCAGCTTAAGGAACCTTGGAAATGGCTTTTAAAATCAGTATGTATTACATTTTGTGTCAAGACTTCTATAACAGTTCAGCTCACACAGCTTCGCTGCTGTGACACACAGGCCCATCCAAGGGCAGCTAATGCACCAGAAAATCAGGTTCTGGGTTGGCAGGCAGTTTCCTTGTTCACCAGTGGCTCCATCCCTCTTGTGGCCCTGTCATTTTTCCAGGACCTTTTCAATATCTGTATTCATCTTGGGGAGGGGAAGATTCTGGGAGATGAGGACAGGTGGGTCTGGGGCCAGGAACACAAGCGGATACTTCACTTCTTCCTGCTTAGAACTCAGTCCTGGGGCTCACCTAACCCTCAGGGGGAGGGGCTGGGAAGTGCTGACTGTGCTTGGGAAAAAGAGGAAGTGGAGAGTGGGAATGGCAGGACGGTGTCTGCGTGGGCTAGCCTGTGGTAAGCGTGGGGGGCCAGCACCCCAGTACTTCCTGCATGTGGTCCACATGCTGTTTTCTATTTTGCCTTTATTTTCCAAGAGGATTCTGATTGAGGCCCACCATGTGGGCTCAGCAACCACTATGGACTCGTAGCCTGCCACTTTAAAAATCCTGGCCTTAACAGTACAGAAAATCTGTGCTCCCCGTGACAAAAAGGCCTAGTATTGAGATACAGCAGTGATGTCATGGAAGAGTGGGCTCTCGCCACCTTTCAGCCCCCGTCTGTCAGCAGCTGTCCTCATGATGATGATGATTACAAAGCCACTTATCTGGTGGTCACTGTGGGCTCAGTACCACTCTGTGGTTTTAGGTATATGACCCTTTCCATCCTCACAACACATGTGGGGTAGGTAATCTTATCCTGATGGGTGGATGAAGAAAAGGATGCACAGAGAGGCCAAGTAACTTACTCCAGGTCATGGCCAGCAAGTGGCTGAGTCAGGACTGCACCTAGGTCTGTCAGTCACCAGAGCTTGCTTCATGAATGCTGACAGGCTCTGGCAGCCGCGGGCATCACTAACCCCGCTGGTCCCTTTTTTTTGTACTTGGGGTTGAACCAGGGCCACTCAACCACTGAGCTATGTCCCTGGTCCTTTTTCATTTTGAGATAGGACCTTGCTAAGTTGCTGAGGCTGGCCTTGAACTTAAAATTCTCCCACCTCGACTTCGGAGGAGCTGGGTGTTCAGGTCTGCTTCGCAGTGCCCGACACTTCCTCCTCCTTTACCATCATGAGGTGGACACAAGGGACTGCCCTTTTTTGTGGGCTGAAGCTTATGAGGATCTTTCTCTGAAGCCCTCTGGCCAGTTTCTCATCCTGTCTTTTCAGCACATTTGGAACATGTGTCCACCAGCTGTTGTCCAGGGGTGTAGCAGATTCTCAGCCCCAGCTGCACATTGGAATGACCTGGAGGGCTTAAAGGAATTCTCCACCCAGCCTTCCAATCTAATGGTCTGGTTTCAGTGAGTGTTGGGCACGCTCTGAGGCAATATGAAGACTCGGTTAACTGGCAGGTGGAGCAGCTGGCTGCCATGTGGTGGCCAGAACTTGTGGCCTGGGACCAGACCAGGCTGGCCCTCAGAGTACTCTTTACTCTCTTGAAGTCATGTGGGACCCTCTGCGAGCCTTCATCCAGTCACCAGAAAGGGACTTGCTTGTGTATGCAGTGAAGGGCATGTGCTGGAACCGCATTCTCCCCACCACCCACTGCCCACTGGGCCTCTGAATTAATGGGCTTCTTTAGTTCAGAGCGAGAGAAACACAGCTCCGACTGCTGAAGGCAAATGAGAGAATTGTATTACTTTGTATCTGTTTGGGGGAGGTACATCCAGTTTAGGAACAACCCATGGGGTCTCCCTGTGGTGGGGCTAAGTTTTCAGTCAGTGGAAAACATGACCAACGCAGTTTGGGGCTTCCTTTCTGGCTACTCGCAGAAGGTGCCAGAACTTCTCTTTCCCAGCTCTAGTGTGCCAAGTCCCAGGGAAGTTTTCTGATTGGCCCAGCTCGGTCACGTGCTCATTCCAGTAGTCAGTGGCTGTGGCAGGGCTGAGGATTGGGCTCTTCCTCCACAGTAGAGAGAGGTCAGGTGGAAAATGTGTGGGGCCAACAAACAGACATGCAGACATAAGCCTCCTCCTGCCTCTGTATGGTGGACCTTGACGTTGACATTTTGGGAGTAGGAGTTTGTGGTTCCCACACATCCCCCACCCTTGCTCCAAGTGGCTTGCATCTTCCCTGACCCTGGAGGCATCGGATTCTCATTTCAGATGAAGAGCATGGGTGTGGGGGATCCCCGAACCTTCCCCTTCATTGAGCCTCCGCCACCAGCCAGTCTGGAAACTGCCATTCTCTACCTCCGGGACCAGGGTGCCCTGGACAGCTCGGAGGCCCTCACCCCCATCGGGTCTCTGCTAGCTCAGCTGCCTGTGGACGTCGTGATTGGTGAGGACCCCTCTCCAGATGATGGTACAGGGTACCACTCCTCTGTCACTCTTGAGTGACTTGTAGGCCAGTCTGTGCTCTCCCTAGTTCTGGTTCATGCATTCACAAGTGCTCTGTGCTGGGCGCCGTTCTGGGTGGTGGGGATGTAATAGTTGATGGAACAGATACCACCCTCTGCCCACACCTGACATTCTGTGGGGGAGCAGCAGAGCAGAAACGTAGGTGATAGGCCTGGAATCATGGAGAAGAGAGCAGGAGCAGGTAGGAGCTGGGGCAGCCGGGGTATTGTGCTGCCTAATGCAGCCCCCAGGCCAGCCCCCTGTCACCTTGCTGGGAAGGTAACATTTGTGCAGAGAAATGGATATGAGGGGCACAAGCCATGTAGGTAGCCAGAACATACTGGCCAGTAGGAACCAAGAATATCATGTGCAACTAGAGCTTCCTAGGCTACATTAGAGAAGTTAAAAGACAAAACAAAAAAGCTGGAATTGATATTGACAGTTTCTTGTTTAACCGTATATCCAAAATGTTTTAATTTTAATATGTAATCAATATAAAAATTATTGTGTTGTATTATTTTTCTTCACACTAAGTCTTGAGAATCCTGTGTGCGTTTTGCGTTCACAGAACATCTCTGTTTGGATATGGCACATTTCAGGTGTTCAGTGGTCACATGTGGCCAGTGTCTTCTGTGTGGACAGCGCAGGTTGGCATTCCGGGGGGTGCCGGGTCTGGGTATTGGAGTAGCAAGGAGTGGAGTGGGGACAGGAGAGGCAAGTCTTATACAGCAGTTATAGGTCACAGAGTGTTCCCTGAGCACCTCCTCTGAGCCAGGCCCTGTTCCGGATGCCTGAGCCACCACAATGGGGACCACAGAGCTCCTGCCCTCAGTGTCCCATGGGTGGGAGGCAGACGGTGAGCAAGCTAATGGGTGCCATGTGTGGTGAACCAGCTTCTGAGGGGGGCTGCAGACAGCAGGGCTAGGAGTGCTAGTGAGTGGCAGTGGGGGAGCTCACTGGGACAGTGACATCTGAGCAGAGGCTGAAAGGCCACTTCGGCGGCCCTGGGTCGGGTAATGAGGTTTTTATTTTTTGGTGCCAGGGGTTGAACTCAGGGGCACTGGACCGCTGAGCCCCATCCCCAGCCCTATTTTGTATTTAGAGACAGGGTCTCACTGAGTTGCCTAGTGTCTTGCTCTTGCTGAGGCTGGCTTTGAACTCGAGATCCTCTGGCCTCAGCCTCCCAAGCTGCTGGGACTACAGGCGTGTGCCCTCACACTCAGTTTAGGTGATGAGGTTTGATTGGATGAGAAATTGGAGTGTTTAAACGGAACTGGGAGATGGCCAGGAAAGGCCAGGGGCAGGGAGTCTGTTGCAGACAGCCACAGTAGCTCAGTGCTGCCAAGTCAGGTCTTCAGAGGCCTCAGAAGAGATACTACTCCTCGTCTCCACAGAAGGGGGTGTTTGAGGGATTTGGGGCCCTTCAGCGCTCAGGCCCTGTCCTCCTTCCTGCTGACCCGTGGCACACTGTTGGTATCCTAGGACACTTACCTTGACTTATAGGCGTTGCCCCTTCAGGTGTGTTGGGGCCAGAGCACGTGATGCTAAGTGTCCTGATTGCAAATGAGTGGCATAAAAGACAAGCCCTTCCCCTGGGATTGCCCAACACTCGATGTGTTTATGGGGCCTCCCTGGGAGGGACAGGCAGGGGGAGTGCCCTTGACCCGCCCAGTGCAGGAGTCCTGTGTTTTCCACAGTATAGGCTTCCCCCGCCACTCGGTACAGCTTGTTCCCGCTCTGCCCTGGGGCACCTGCATTGTGGTATTGTGGTTATCGGGGTGTCATAAGTTGGCTTCCTCTTCCTCTTGCTTATTCCTGAGTCATATGTGCCCCTCCTGAGGAGCTCTCAAGCCAGATAATTCTTCTTGCCCAATTCTTCTACCTCAAGATGTTCCAGTTCCACCAGAGTGCAGCTCTGTCTCCCATCTCAGCAGGGCACCCGCAGTGCCATGTCCTAGAAGTGTTGCTAAAGGGAACCTTCTGTCTTATTTCAGCCTTTAAACTCCCCATCAGTGCACCTGCTGGGGCTTCATTACTGGGGACTTCGAGGGCCTCCGAGGCTAGATAGATGGTTCCTTTCGCTTGTTTTGGAAGGGAACTGGGCTAGAGTGAGGGGAGGCAGGGCTGAGGGGGCGGAAGAATACTGTGGGGCACTTGCTGCTCCAGGAAGAGCCTCAGTGGACTTTCTTCCTCACCTGCTGAGGGCAGGGCCTCTGGTTGCTCCCCTGGACAGCCGAGGAAACCCAGGCGCAGCCAGGGAGGCAGCCTGTGCCCTGGGATGTGCAGCGAGCACAGGAGAGCCTGGATCTCACTAGATGTGGTGCCAAGTGCTGCATGCCGCCGTCTCCTGGGGCTGGGAGTAAGCGATGCACTCTCCACATGAGGAAAGTGAGGCTCAAGAGCCCAGAGGACCCTGTGCTGGGTGTCCTCTGGGCCAGGAGGGCTCCCAGGTATGTCACTGGGTGGAGCATTTGGCCTATGGCAGCCCTGCAAGGAACTGCTGCCCCATTTTATAGACAGGAATCAGGCAGAGCGAGGTGGAGGGACCTGTCCCTGGAGACAGCTAGGGAGGGCTGGGACAAGACATGGACCTAGGGACCTGGAGGGCCTGGTCCTAAGCCTTGCTTTACTGTCCTTCTGTATCTGCTGGGGCAACTGTGCAAGGGTCAACCCAGGACACAGGCCATGATGAGGTAGGTGGGCAGGGCCCAAGCTCTCAGGAAGCCTGTGTCTGCTCAGGTCCCCAGATCCAGGGTCATCCAGGTTCCCAGCGACCGCACTTACAGGTGCAAATGATTTCAGCAGCTCTTGGGCCACATTGGGAGGCATTCCTGCCACATTCTTCTCCTCTGCACCCTCCCATGGCCCCTTGTCATTGCTCCCACTGTCCCTGCCTCGCCTCTCTCCTCTCCGTCTTTCTCCTCAGCCCCTTCTCTCCTCCTCTTGCCTCCCACCCTTCCTCATTCCTCTGCCTCTATGGTGGGTTACACAGGAGTGTGCAGGCTTTTTCGATAAGCACAGAACCAGCACCTGCTGTGCACCAGGGCAGAGCAGCCACAGCCAGTGCGGGTCACACTGGAGGGGAGGGCTGCACGGTGTTTGTGGTGAAGGGGTGCCAGGAGGAGACTCCAGCTCAGCAGCAGGTGGGGATGCTGTGGATTCAGTTGTGAGTAGAAATGTAGCTGAGTCGCAGTCAGCAGCAAACAGGGCCTCCATGTCTCAAGGAGGCAGGAACTGTGGCCATTTCCACCTGATGGATGGAGAAACTGAGGTCCTTGCCTGAGGTCATGTGACCAGGAAGTCCAGCATGTGGGTTGGAATCTGCCCATCTGACTCCCAAGACCCTCTGTGGGGGAGGAGCCAGCAGGATGTGGGTGGGAGGGTGGCTCAGGGCTCCCAAGAGCCCCAGGGCAAGTGGGGTGCTTTCCTGGTGCCCAGGAGGCTCATCTCAGTTCCCACCTGCCCAGGGAAGATGCTGATCCTGGGCTCCATGTTCAACCTGGCCGAGCCTGTGCTCACCATCGCGGCCGCCCTCAGTGTCCAGTCGCCCTTCACTCGCAGTGCCCAGAACAGCTTGGAGTGTGCAGCTGCCCGGAGGCCCCTGGAGAGTGACCAGGGTGACCCCTTCACACTTTTTAATGTCTTCAATGCCTGGGTGCAGGTGAGGCGGGCAGCGGAGCCCATCTGGGTACTTCACTGCGGTGGTGGGTACTCAGGGTGCTGTGAGGTGGTGGCTCCTCAGGTGAGGACCCTGAATTCTCCATAGCCTGCCTGGAGAGTCCCCTTTATACCCTTGGGGCAATGGACAGCTGTGCCCAGATCCAGGGTTCAGAGGGAGTCTGGGGTTTCTAAAGTGGATTAAAACCAGAGCCTTCTGGAGAAGGACCACCCCAGTGTGGTGTCTGTGTACTCAACCCATGTTCCCTGCACCCCTGCCCCAGCCTCAGCCCTGCCCTCCCAGGGTGCATAGTCCAGCATGGACAGGAAGACTCATCCTTTGATTAATCAGTGACAGTGCAGATGGGGCTGGAGGGGAGAGTCCAAGGGGCTGGAGAGCTCAAAGGGGACACCTCACCCAGTGTGGGGATCTGGGGCTCCTGAAGAACGGGGCACCATGGCTGAGACTGGAAGGAGGCAGAGAGCTGGGGTCCCTAAGGGATGCCACCTGCCCTGCACCCTCCCAGTGGGTGGTGTGTAGGTCCAAGCAGGGCTCTTTGGGCTGTGGGAGACCCGGTGTCACACCAGGCCCTGACGCCTTGGCACCTGCACCCAGGTGAAGTCTGAGCGGAGCAGAAATTCACGCAAGTGGTGCCGCCGCCGGGGTGTAGAGGAGCATCGTCTATATGAGATGGCCAACCTGCGGCGCCAGTTCAAGGTAAGAGTGAGGGCCAGCAGGGAGCAGTGCACACTCCAGGACACTCACTCCTCCCTCCCCGGTGGTGATCAGAGCCAACCGATGAACAGATGAACAGCATGGGGGCAGACTGGGCAGGGCAAAGAAGGGTAGGGATCCAGGAGGACTTCCTGGAGGAGGTCAGCAAGATTGGCGGTGGCATGCTGCATCCTTGCAGGAATCTGCCCTCTGGACAAGGGGTGCTGAGCCAGCAGTGCAGGCTGAGTGGGGAGGCGGTTTAGGGTGCAGTTGGGGCCGACATCCATACAGCTCTGCCACGTGCTGATGGTGTGACTGCGGACATTTCACTCCTGGTTTCTGGGCCTCTCATGCTAGGCAAGCACTCAGCCACCACTGTACCCCTGAGCCACATCCCCAGCTCTTTTTAGTTTATTTTGAGACAGGATCTTGCCAAGTTGCTGAGGCTGACCTTGACCTTGTGATCCTCTTGCCTCAGCCTCCTGAGTAGCTGAGACCACCAGCATGTGCCACTGCACCTGATTTTCAAGGATTATTCTCACATAGTCCCCTCAGTCCCCTCTCTGTCACAGCCCTTTAGGGAGGTCCGGAACCCATTTAGCCTGTCCTGTGTCCCTCACTTGCACCTTATTTGTCCCCAGGAGCTGCTGGAGGACCATGGGCTCCTGGCTGGGGTCCAGGCAGTGACACCAGGCGACAGCTACAGTCGGCTACAGCAGCGCCGGGAGCGCCGGGCCCTGCACCAGCTGAAGCGGCAGCATGAGGAGAGCGGGGGCCGCAGGCGAAAGGTGCTGCGGCTGCAGGAGGAGCCCGCTGACTTCTCCAGCGATGAGGAGCATGCTGGCCCAGCCCCCCGAGGGGCCGAGGACAGTGTGGACATCCAGGTGGGCTGTCTGGTGTGGGAGTTGAGGGGACAGTTCACCAGAGGAATTATGGCCCTGTCCCTGAGGGTTGGAAGGGCCATGGCCCTTTCGGGGGCTCTGAGGGGTCCCCGCCTTAGTATCTGGGCAGCTGCTGACTCCACCTGAAACACCTTGGGCCTCTGTATCACAGCACGAGTGCCCTAGACAGAGTGGGGAGGGTCCCCCAGGAACCATCTGCCCCCACCCCTTGCTCCTCCAGGATGTGAAGTTCAAGCTTCGGCACAACCTGGAGCAGCTGCAGGCAGCTGCCAGCTCAGCCCAGGACCTGACCCGTGACCAGCTGGCCATGCTCAAGCTGGTGCTGGGCCGGGGCCTTTACCCTCAGCTGGCCGTGCCTGATGCCTTCAACAGTGGCCGCAAGGACTCAGACCAGGTGAGGCCCCCCACCCCGCGTCCATGCTTGTTCTGCATGTTCCCCAGGCACCCGCACTCTACTGGGGCTTGGTGGTGACAGAACACCTCTGTACCCTTATGTGTGGCTCACAGTGCAGCCTGGGGATAGACTGGTCCCCAACAGATCTCCCAGAGCGAGCATCATAAAAGGGAGGGTTCCTCGGGGCACCTAGTCCCGCCCTGTGGGGTCCAAGGAGGACTTCCTGGAAGAAGAGGCATCAGAGTGGGGAATGGGGAGGGAACGTAGACAGCGGGTGGAGGGAGAGTGCTGGGCTTCAGGGTCAGCAGGTCTCAGGCCTCTACCCCCAGCACCTGCCTTGGCCTCTACAGGTCTTCCACACTCAGGCCAAGCAGGGCGCCGTGCTGCACCCCACCTGCGTCTTTGCCAGCAACCCCGAGGTGCTGCACGCACAGGAGCAGGAGGCTGCGGGCCCCACAGGGAGCCGAGGTGCAGTAGCCCAGGGGGTAGGGCGGAGGGAGGCCGGCTGGGCAGCCCCAGTATTGGTGCTGCTCTCCTGGGCCTGCGGGTCCAGCAGAGCTCCAGGGCCAGGGTTGGTGGGCTGAGCCAAGCCAGCCTGGCAGCGCAGCACTGTTCAAGAGACTTGTCCTATGGGCCCCATGAGCTCCCCAGCACGGGCCTGCAGTGGCACTGCGTGGCCAGGCGCTGCATGGGACTGGGGTCAGGCAGGCGCCCCCACAGCCTCACGGATGGCTACCATTTTTTTTCCGAGCTCAGGAAGGCAGCTCGTCTTTCTCCTTATGTTCAAAGAAAACAACGTGCCTTAGTGGCCCATCCAGCCTGAGGAGAGGGCTTCTGTTCCCACGTCCAGGAGAGAACCTGGAGCTTGCTCCCTAATCGTTAACCACCGTCAGTTCCTACTGGGTCTACCTTTCTCTTTACGCTGTTGTCCCCTCTTTTTAATCTTGAAAGTGTCCACACCATTCAAGTGGCAGTGACAGAGCCGCTTGTGCCTTGCCAGCCTCAGGGCCACACTTTCTTTCTGCCTCCGCTCTCTTTCCTTCCTGCGGGAGCCTTCTCTTTTCCTCCCTCCCCCCCTTCCCTTTGGCTGGAGCATTTTAGAGCAGCTCCTAGGCCTCGTGTCACTTGATAGAGGTGGTACTGGGGACCAGGTGCTGGCATTATTGCGGAGCTGCCGATCATCCCTCAGAGCAGCGGTGACTCCTTAACGTCAGCCGGCGGTGCCGTTCATGTCCGTCACATCAGAGTGGACATACTCTTTATACAGATGTGTGCATTGAGGGATGGGACAAGGAGGCCCTGGGACTGGGGACAGATAGGTGTGGGGGTTCAGGTGGGTGAACTAGGTGGGCAGGAATAGGCATGAGCAGTCCTTTCTAACCTTTCAGATGACAAGGACAAGATGAGCAGTAAGCACCAGTTGCTCACCTTTGTCTCCCTGCTGGAGACCAACAAACCATACCTGGTGAACTGCGTCCGCATCCCGGCCCTCCAGGTAGGCCTCTGTCCCAGCTCCTGGGTTTGATGACCACATTGCCAGGCAGAGGGCAGGGGGTGGCCTGGAGGAAGCGCTTGTCCCCCAGCTGGCAGCAGGCATTGGCTGCAGACTGATGTCTTCATTCGTGGGTCTGTCTGTCAGTTACTTGCCAGGGGCCTGCTGTGCCAGGCACTGGTGTGGGCGCTGAGAACACAGCAGTGCACAGGGCAGGACCTGCCCCTGCCCTCCTGGGCTCTCATGGCTGGGGGACAGACGAGAGCCGTGGTGTGATGAGGTGATCAGGCTGGGCCTTGTTGCGAAGGTTCAATGGAGCAAAGTCCTGAGGGGACAGAACCACAGGGACCTCGGGCAAGAGCATTTTTGGCAGAGGGATGGCACCTGCCAAGGGCCTGAGGCAGATGGGTGCTTGGTGCTCAGGGAGCATCTGGATGAGAACCTGGGAGGGACAGTGTGGAGATGAGGTCCGAGCGGCAAGCCTGGGGAGTCTGAGGAGAGCTGTGATGGCCGTGACTAGGGAAATACAGGAAGCCCAGCCCAGAGGCAGCTCCCACCATCCAGGTGGAAGAAGATGGTGACTGACCCTGGGGGCAGGACGAGGACATGCTCAGGTGGCAGATGAGGCTTCGTGTGTCTGTAGCTAGAAAGTGGCGGTTCTGCCAGCAGTCTCTGCACGTCCCCAGCGCTTGCCATGTGCCACCTGTGGTGCAGCCTGGCCTTGGTGAGCCCTTGGCAGCCTCAACACACACTTCATGGAGAAGACAGGTCTGGGGACCACAAGGCATGTGACTTCAACCACTTGCCTGAGTCACAGTGAACGAGGCCTGAGCCAGAGCTCCAGGGTCGCTGGCTACACCTTGATGCCTCCCCACATCAGTTGGATGTCCCATCCCCAGGACTCCCTGGCTTCAGACCCAGGAGTTCAGAGGGAAGAGACTTGCAGGCTCCTTGGAAGGCCCGTGACTTCCAGTGACGCTTGAGTGTGGTCTCCTCTTGCCTGCACTCCCTCACTCTCATGTGGACACAACTCCCGAGCTCCCAGGAGGCCCCGTGTGATGGGGAGGTCGACAGTCAGCACAGACTAATAACAAGATGCTGCAGGGGCCCTGCTGGCACCCAGAGGAGGAGAGCGAGCTGGGGAGGGTCACCATTGTGCCCAGCAGGATGGGGAGACGGGGCCACGGGCGCTCGCTTCTCCCCTCCGAGATTTGTTTATGAAGGGGATTGTAGAAGTATGCAGGGTAGCATGTTGAACCGAATCTGCCAACACCCAGCACCGTATTGTCAACCCGTGGCCAGTCCTGTCCTCTCTCGTCCCCGCCCCCCAGGGCATTCTCCCAGGATACTGTCATGCAGCACTACGCAGGTCATCGTGGGTACTCACGGCCCTGCCCTCACCCTCTTGGGAGCATGGGTGTCTGGGTTGTCCTCTCCACACTCCTTGCCGGGAGAGTCATCTCTGGGCCCCACTTTAAAATGCAGGCCTCTGCTCTCCTGCTGCCTGCGGCCCCCACGACACGCATACCTCCATTACTTGGCTGTGGCGCAGGATGGACTCTGCATTTCATCCTTTGTTTTTCCAAGTCAAGTGTTAGCTCTGGGGATCAGAGACCTCCCTGTTCATGATTGTCTCTCCAGCCTTGAAGGACACCTGGTAGCAGGCGCACGTGGGGGTCTGGGGTGGGCGGGCAGGCGACAGATGGCTACGCTGGACACCCCGGGGGTGGTGGTGGACGGGATCGGGGGTAGGTATATTGAATGGACCGGAAGGTGGGTGGGGGGTGAGGCTGGGCAGGAGCCTGGCAGCAGATGGCCTCCTGACCCTCACTTCTCTCCCTTCCAGTCCCTCCTGCTGTTTAGTCGCTCCCTTGACACCAATGGTGACTGCTCCCGCCTGGTAGCCGATGGCTGGCTGGAGCTACAGCTCGCGGACAGTGAGAGTGCTGTCCAGCTCCTGGCAGCATCCCTGCGGCTCCGTGCCCACTGGGAGAGTGCCCTGGACCAGCAGCTGTCTTACCAAGCCCGGCGGCGGCAGCTAGAAGAGGAAGAAGAGATGACTGCAGTGGTCAGTCGCAAGGAGGTGGCAGCCCTAAGCCGGGAGCTGCTGCAGTTCATGACATCCAAGGTACCAGCTGTGACAAGAGGTGCAGCTGCAGGCAGGGCATGTGTCAGCCCAGCTCCCAGTCACTCAGTGTGGGCACCTTTAGGCCTTTTAAGCCAGAGAGGTAGTGACTCTCCCCAGGCCACACAGCTGGTAAAGTGTGGAGCCAGGATGAGGTCCCAGGAGCCTTTCCAGGGGCAGTCCTACTGGCTGCTGCCCTGGAGCACCTCCAAAGCAGGTTCCTTGACACACACTCTTCATGTGGGATGTGCGTTGCGCTTGCTAAAGGAGCAGGTGTTGAGGGGCTGGAGAGGCTGAGCGTCTGCACACAGAGACAGAAAGGCAGCCTCAGCAGACCTGGAATAAGGGCCCACATCTGGTGGGGGTCAGGGATATTCCCGATTCTGCCTTGCTGCGGGATGGAGGGGTGTAGGCCAGGCTGACGTCCTGGAGGAGGAGAGGGCTGGGGGAATGGGCAGGAAGTCAGCAGGGAAAGAAGAACAGGGCTGACGTGCCTTGGGGAGGGGTGAGGTAGCCAGACTGGGGGCTGGATGTGGTCCCACCTGGGACAGGAACACTGAGGCTAGGAAGGCAGTCAGGGGGGAGATGGGGCTCGGGGCACATTTTAGACAAGCCTGTGGTCATGAGTCCCTGAACCAAGTTGTGATTGGCTTAAGTATTTTGTTCCTGAAATTGAAAAGTTTCAGGAAGGCTTCAGGCACAGCTGGATCTGAATGCTCTGCCGGGGTCTCCCGGAGTCTCTCCGTCTCCTGTTTCTCCTTCCTTAGGTTCCCTATAGCCTACGGCGGCTCACAGGGCTGGAGGCCCAGAACCTCTATGTGGGACCCCAGACCATCACGGCTGCCCCCAGTCTCCCTGGCCTCTTTGGCAGCTCCACCCTGTCCCCCCATCCCACCAAGGGGGGCTACACTGTCACTGACTTCCTCACTTACAACTGCCTCACGGTGAGCAGGACCCACCTTGGCCTCCCTTCCCTTCCTGCCTGGAGCTAGGGTTTCAGGAAGCCCCCACCCCCACCTACCAACCACATCCCACTTAGTTTAGGGGCATGGTTTCCAGGTGGGACCTCAGGTCCCAGGGCTTCTGGGAAGGGACCCACACTGGGGAGAGGGAAGGCGAGGCGAGGCCACATCTGACAGCCTGCCCACTGCAGAGCGACACGGACCTGTACAGTGACTGCCTACGCACCTTCTGGACCTGCCCCCACTGTGGCCTGCACATGCCCCTCACGCCCTTGGAGCGCATTGCCCACGAGAACACCTGCCCGGAGGCCCCACAGGACCTCGCCCCAGGCAAGGAAGGGCTGTGGGTCCTGGCCCTGTGCTTGCCAGCTGTTTATCCATCTGGGTTGTGCCCTATGTGTCTGGGCATTTCCTGGGCATTGGGGACTGAGAACCTCAGTCTTCTGGCCCTGGCTGGTGCCGTACATGGGCCTTGTCCTACACACAGGGACCCAGAACAGGGAGGGCCTGAGCACCTGCTTTTCCTCTCTGTCTTTGGTCTCTCTGCATCTCCTGTTCTTTTCTCTGTCCCGCAGCTATCTCTGCCTCAGCTGTGTTCACCCTCTTGTCACCTGGGGATGCCCACAGCATCTTCTGCAGCACACCACATGCCATAGGGGAGATGGTGGCAGGGCCAAGCCAGGGTGTGCTCTTGGCTCTCTTCCTGTTCTTGTGTCTCTCTTCCTGTCTCTCTCTCTCTCACTGGGGGGACACAGTGAAGACTGGCCTGTCTGGGCACATGGGTCACAGGAGGCTTCCCAGAGGAGCACAAAGGCCAGGAGAGAACCAGAGCCCTGCGGGTGCCTGCGACTGAGTGAGGGAAGCACCCCTCACAGCTTTCCTTCTCCTCTTAGGGACTGAGGAGGCCACCCCCAAGCCCTTGCAGAAGGCGTCCACCTTGCAGAGGCCTTACCACTGCGAGGCCTGCCAGAAGGACTTCATGTTCACGCCCACCGAGCTGCTGCGGCATCGAAGACAGCACGTCTGAGCTGTACTGGGGACCCTGGCCGCCCCCTCACCCAGTGCAGGGCGCTGCCCACAGGCCTACCTGTCCCCCACTATGGACCAGGGCCGGAACTGCAGGCAGCCCTCGCCTGGGCTCAGAATTGTGGCCTGGTCCCAACCCAGTGAACCTGGAAATAAAATCTCATGCTGACTCTGCCTCCTTGAAGCACATCCAAGTCTCAGCCAGCGGAAGCCTACGGCCCTGCCTGCTCTCCCCAAGGTGTCCCCAGTGCAGCCACTCAGCTTACTGAGGCTCCATCCAGGCCCCCTCTATCTTCCACGGGTCCCTCTGGGCCTTTCCCAGCTAGGGTGCTGGGATTCCCTCTTGGGGTTTGCGTCCCACCCCCATCATAGTCTGCCTGCTCAGTGAGGGGCACCTTGCCAGCCAGGTCAGCCCAGCCTGGGAGTCCTCCTGGCCCTCGTCTCAGGCTGCACGTCCTCTCTTAGCCGGTATCATTGACTCTGGCCCCAGAATAGGTCCAGGCTCTGACCACATGCTCCCTCCTCTCCTGGTCCTGACCGGAGCTGCCGCCATCACTTACTGGACAAGAGCTGATCTCCCGCCTCCATCCTGCCTCCCACAGTGCACCCTGCAGAAGCTACAGGAGAGCAGGGCATGGCCTGGCAGCCCGTTTAAACCAGCTCTGATTTGCTTTCAGGCTGCAATTGGGACTTGTCCCCAACACTGTGGCATCCATTCCTTGGCTACAGGTTCACAGGCCCCTTCCTGCCCCTCACATATCTGCTGTGCCTTCCTCAGGCTTCTGCAGATCTGGTCCCCCGCCTGGAGTGCTCTTTTCCCTGATAGCCACATGGCTGCCCCTCATTTGACTTCATCTATTTAAGTGTCAGTTTCTTGGCACCCAGTTTTAGGGGGAGGCCAATAAGTGGGTGGCTGGGTATAAAAAGGTACAGACTGGAGGACGCGTGGAGAAGACTTGTGCTTGGAACTCAAACTGCCAGGCAGTGTTGGTCCTTCGGCAAGGGTTGTTTTTCTGCACCTGTTTCCTCATCAGTTCCTACCTTGGTGTCGGTTCAAGGACTTAAGTTAGGTCTGCTTGTCACACGTGCAGCTGTTATTGGTCATTTTTGTTGAAACTTCTTTTTTTTTTTAGATGAGGCTGTCTGTGTTGTGCAGACTGGCCTCAGATTCCTAGGCCTGTTTCAGCCTCCTGAGTAGCTGGGCCTGTAGGTGGTGCCTGTTACTGGTTTTTGAAATTAGATATTTATGCTTAGGAGAGAGTGGAATAAAAAAAAAGGACTGGAAAAGCTGGAGAAGATAAGTGAAACGATGCTGATACTCTGAAAAGAATAAAGTTGGTCAGGGTTTGGGTGCATGGGAGTGAGAGCAGGACACGAACAGATCCTCCAGGTACAAAACGGATAGTGAGCCCTGCTGCACGTGGTGGCACACTGTGATCCAGTGAGTCTGGGAGCTGAGGCAGGAGGATCTCAAGTTCAAGGCCAGCCTGAGCAGCACAGTGACACCCTGTTGCCAGTACAACATGGCTGGGATTGGATCTCAGTGATAAAGTGTCCTAGGTTCAATCTCTAATGCCACAAAGGAAAAACAAAAAGGATAGTGAATCTTTCAAATAACTTGATGCCTATAAATTCATCAACTCAGTTGAAATAGATGATTTAAAAATAGGCATGGATAATTTTCTCAAAAGCTCACTCAAGAAAAAATAAGCTGAAGAACTCTATAAATCACACTGAATTCCTATTTAAAACAAGAAACTCTGATTGGCTCACCAGTGACCTCTATCAAGTACAGAAGGAGGAGATAGGACTGTCCAACATGGACCCTCCTGACTGATTGTCTAAGGCCTGTATTACTGCCCAAACCAGACCCAAACAATGCACGAGAACTCTAGTCAATGCCCTTAGGGACACAGACATGAAAGTACAAAAAGGATAGTGTGTCACTACCAAGTGGTGTTGTTCAAGGAATGCAAGGTTGGTTTGAAAACTGCAAATCAATCATTGTGGCTTAGCACATTTAAAACAGCATTTGCCACATTTCAGCACCTTGTGACTTTAGACAAACCCTTAGTTGTTTGCCACACTTGGATTTTTTGCCTTGATGAATGAACCCAGTTGAACTGTCCATTTCCCCCAGAGGTGTCGCTATGGAAACTTGGGAAAGCCTAATATATGTTTTTCATGAATTAAAATGCAAATCATGATGGTCCCAGGCAGGAGTCTAATTAGAACCCCTCCAGGTGTTTTAAACAGGAAGAGACTGAATACAGGGAAATGGGTGTTTACAAAACTGGGGGAGGCTGCAGAATCGCGCTCCAGTCCAGGCCCTGGGGAATGACGCCCAGGACAGCACAGAACTGACTGCCAGGGTGCTGCTGCTGTTGAGGCCACTGCTGCCAATGTGTGTGTGGCTGTGATCCCACAGCTGTTCCTGCCGGCCACACTGATGGGAGGAGTCTTATCACTGGGACCTAACTTTTCATCTAGAATCTGGTGACCGAGGGTCCTGGGAAATACAGTAGTTGCTTTCCGTCCTGCTGAAGGGAAGAGGGATGGAGGTCACCAAACCTAGCCTGTGACACCGTCACGAAGGCTATGTTAGAAATGGAGGGGAGCAAAAAGCAGGCTTGAGGAAGGTCTAGAAAGAAAGTCACAGAGCCAGTAGGTAACAGCTGAGATCTGGACGCAGTCACCTGGGCCCCTGACTTGCCCACCGGTCTGTGCTACCTCCACTCACTCCTCCCAGGTGACAGCCAAATGCAGCTCCTCAGCAGAGAAAGAAAGGGGTTTATCCAGCTGTTACCCAATTGAGCTTAGCATGTGCAAGGCCCTGTGGTCTGTCCCCAGTGATAAAAATGAAAAAGAATTAGAAAAATCAGGGGTAGGTCCAAGGTTTTGTGGGGGTTGAAGCTCATACAATTTCGGAACCCAAGATTAGGCGCAGGGTCTCTCAAAAAGCTGGCATCAACGAGGAGAGCTGAGGCTTGATCTGAAAAGCATCACCCTAACCCAACTCCGCCCTGCTAACTGCCTCGAAGAAACAGCCATGGTGTGGCAGGTGGCAGGGCCCCTTGCCCAGCTCTGGGCATGAACAAGTGTCTTGGGAAGAAGGATTCCTAGCTGTGGAGTTTGGGCTTTCTGTCCCCAATGCCTAGAAGAGTCTGGCCTGGAATCTGGAAGATGGTCGATAAATAGTTGTCAAACACCTTGATCATGAGGCAAAAGTACTGATCACACAGGAAAATAAAACCAGCGGGACCACACTGACTTCCCTTCACCAAAGACACCATTCAGAGTCAGCAGGCGGATCACAACCAGGAAGAGGAAATTGGCTATGCATATCCACAAGAATTGGTGGCCCCAACAGACAATGAAAGCTTATAAATCAGAAAGAAAAGGATAATCAGAAGGAAATAAACCAAACTCTCAGCTACGTCATGAAAGAAAACATCCAGATCGCCATTCAGCTGCTGAAAAGACGCTCAGCCTCATTAGCCAGCAGGGAAGTGCAAACAGAAACCACCAAGGGATCCCTGGACTGGGAGGTGGCTGGTGGGACAATAAACTGGAAGGACTCCTTTGGAAAACTGTGTAGCCATTTCCTTTAAACACACACTTAGCTCATGAGGGCAATCTACCACGTATTTACCCAGGAGAAACGAAGACATGGCCACAGAAAATCTTATGAATGTTCAAAGCAGCTTTATCCAGAAGAGCCCCCAAATGGCACCAACTCAAATGACCAGCCATTCCCTACCCACCTGTGGTTACCATTCAAACTAGGAAGGACCAATTAGGTGACAGCTCTTGTAATCTAATCATTTCCGCTCTGAATGTTCCTGCATTAACAGGAGGTTTTGGGAACACCCCATATCCAAACTATAACAAAGCGAAAGCTTCACCTTCCCCCTGCCTAGTCAAATTTCCAAAAAATAGTATGGTTTATCAAGGCCTGTACCAGAAGTTTCTATTGGCTACTGATTACCTGAGGAGATGGGCGAGGAAGATGCAGCACGCCTTGCTCAATGAGAAGGGTGAGTTCTGAGAGGTGTCCTTAGGAGATTCAAGTGCACTCACACAAACTAAGCCAGGCGTGACGTCACCAGGCTATGTGAGAATATGTATGTGTGGTTGGCCTTGACAGAAAGGTTATGTGTTTCACAGTGTGATCTCTCCAGGCGGGGTGTGCCCTGTTCATTCTCACAATCCTGCATGAAGTAAACTTCATGGAGACATCATTTTCTACCCATCGCCAATTGGCCCAATATTTTTTATTTTAGACAATTTTTTTTTTGTTTTGTTTTGCAGTGCTGGGGATCAAACCCAGGGCCTTGTGTGTGCTAGGCAAGTACTCTACCACTGAGGTACATCCCAAGCCCTTATTTTAGCCATTTTAGTGATTTTTATTGTGGTTCTAATTGCATTTTCATGATAACTGATGTTTAGTATCTTGAAACAGGCTTATTAACCACTCATTTTATCTATTTTCATAGGTAACTTCAATATTTTACCTCTTATAAAAGGTTATTCATCTTATTGATTTGAAAGCATTCTTTACATAATCAGGAGAGATGACTTTTCTCAGATAGGTCCGTAATGAATATTTTCTTCACATCTACACTTACTTGCCTTTTGATTTTCTTGACTGTGTCTTCTATAGTGCAGAAATTTTCAATTTTGAGAAATTCAACTCATTATTTTTCTCTCGTATTATTTATACATTTTGTGTGCTACCTGAGAAGTCTTTGTCGACCCTCAAGCTCATAATTTTCTCCTACATTTCCTTCTAGAAGTTTTATAGTTTTAGATGATACCTTTTTTAAAAAATGATCTATTTCAACTTAGTTTTTGTATATGATGTGAGTCAAGGGTCAAGGTTCATTTTTTTGTATACGAATGTTCAATGTTTACAGCATTATTTGTTGGGAAGACAGTTCATTCCCCACCAAATTAATTTTACAACTTCAGTGAAAAATTAATGGAATCTATCGATTGGGGTACATTTCCAGGCTTTAACACATTGATCTGCTTATTGAAGTTATGCCTGTTACAAATTGCCTGATTACTATAGTATGATAGTAAGTTTTAAATCACAAAGGGTTAATTTTATGACTTTTTTCTTCAACTAAAGAGTTTTGGTTACTCTAGGTCCAACACATTTGCAACACATTT